AAACTTGAAAAAAAAAACCCAAGAATTCACTCAGATGTATACAACAGTTCAAAAAGCAGTAAGACAATAATTGGGGCTGGAAAAGTTACCAGTAGTCTGGGAAAAAAAGAAGAGAAAAATAAAACCATTATAAAAATGAAAGTCATGTCAGAGTAGCAAAAAATAAATGTACAGGGCTGCAACCAGAATTGTGCAGGAGAGAGCTTGAGAAAAATAAAGCAAATTAAAACGGAAAAGGAATACAGATCACAATTTGCAGAAGGAATGGTAACTGCTGAAGACAAAAGTGATCTAAGATAAAAGTAATTAGAACCAGGGCGCGTGGGTGGCTCAGTCGGTTAAGCGGCCGACTTCAGCTCAGGTCATGATTTCGCGGTCCGTGAGTTCGAGCCCCGCGTTGGGCTCTGTGCTGACAGCTCAGAGCCTGGAGCCTGGCCTGTTTCAGATTCTGTGTCTCCCTCTCTCTGTCTCTCTCTGTCTCAAAAATAAATAAATGTTAAAAAAAAAAAGTAATTAGAACCTCTGGAGAAGACAATAAGACAAATGGGGAAAAAATATTAACAGAAACAGAGGGGGAAATTCCCCAAATAAAACCTACGGCAATTCATGAGCCATAGTACCTGTGAGCCCTTATTGAGAAAATGACTCACTTAATCTAACCAAGAGATGAATCCAAGTAGAGAACCCAGGAATAAAGCTACCATGTTAGGAAAGACATTAGGGTTAGAAAACAGATGTGTAAAACTGTGTGAATCTTTGCGCTGTAGAGATAATAATGTGATTGAAGTAGGACAGTGAGACTCAAAAAATATGTCTATTTGAAAGATAAATGAAGGTGTGGATTTTTAGGACATTATTTGATGTTAGTGTTAGGAGCTTAGTTGGGCTGGGAAAGACAGCTGAGCTCTCAGGGGTCAGAGTAGTTTTTATTCAAACAGCAAGGCGAAAATGAAAGAGTGAAGCCTTTTTCACTTACTGCGGTGGTGTAAGCAATTCTGTGCAATAAGAGGAACCACCAGGACCCCCTGCTGCATTTCCCCCATGCGACAGCATACGGAGGGAGAGCCGGGGGGTGTCAGCACAGATGTGGGGGTCAGCTCACCGTCCAGGGAGCCCCAGCCTTGGGGAAATTGTAAGAGGGGAGGGCTAGGAATGCCAAGTGCTGAGTACCATTCAGAGTGGGGAGAAGCGTCTTCGAGGTTTCCACCACCGTCTCCGGGAAGGAGGCCTTGACAGAGCTGCTTGAAGAGACCTAGACATGCAAATCTGTGAAGAACGTGCTGGCCAGGGTGCCTGCATCCTCGACTGTGACAGCTCGCAGAGCCTGCGACAAGCTGGCTGTGTTCGGAGTCTGGAGTGGGAAGGGCAGCCTTTGTAACTGCCCACAGGCCCAAAAAATCACAGGGAGGTTTAGAACCAGGAGCAGGACTCTTCGGTTATAAAGACAGCTAGTAATAAAACTGCAGGCTAATGTATCTAGGTAGAAAATGAGGAATTAGTAGTCAGTACTGTATAAACTTCACATGAGCAGAAACCTTGTCTGGTTTGTTCCTTGTTGCAGACTTGGCACAGTGCCTGGCAGAGGGTAGATCCTCTGAAATATTGATGGATTACTTTCTGAACATTGTTGAATGAGCAACATATTGGGTTAAAAACGAGGACATACCAGGCAAATGGAAACAAAGGCTAACAGTTTCAGAACTGGTATTAGTTAGAATGGATTCCAAGGCCAGAGCATTTAAGAGTCATAGAAAGTTACTTTATAATGATGATTAGGATGGTCCTCAAGAAGGATTGTCATATTTATGCACAAAATAACATGAGAGTTCACAGAACAGGAAATGGTAGGAAATATCCACTCAGTTTTTATTGGATACCTACCATATGCCACAATACAGGAAAATCATTGTCTTATGAATATAAACACAGGAATTCTAAGTAAAATATGACAGAAGCACATTAAAAGAATAATGTAGCATAACCAAAATGGATTTTGTTTTGGGGAATATAATAGTTTAGTACTTAGGAATTCTATTAATACTATTCAACATGTTAATAATGGGAAACAGCAAAACTATGTATTAGAAAATAGTTGACCAAATGCAGGGTTTTCTGCATTTGGGTTTTTAATCTCCCTTAATAAAATTAGGACATATGTGTACTACTACAGACACGTATGTTATTTAGTGGCTTTACGTGTGTGTGTGCACGTGTATATTTCTGTTTAAACACACACACACACACACACACACACACACACACACACACACATATCTCCAAGTCCAGTAACATGGTAAAACTTTAAAAGCATTCTCGCTAAAATGATGAATAAAACAAGGATGTCCACCATTGACATTGTTATTTAATATTGTTGTAGATGTTAGGTAATATACTCACACAAGGGAAATAGCATATAACTATCAAGGAGGATTCTAAAGAATAATTGTATAGGCCTGGAAAACAGAAAACATACTGTGCTAAAAATACGATGAGGAACAATTAGTACATTTAATAAGGAGACTGGTTACAAAACATATGATAACCAGTAGCTTATATATATAAACAAACACCTGTGAGAAAATATAATAGAAGAAATTTCCTATTTATAGTAGCAACAAGAAACTTATAAACACCGAGAAATAAACTTAAGAAATCTGCAGGACCTACATGGGAATAAAAGATTTGAAAAATGGAAATATGACTGAATAGCGTACAAATTTCAGTTCTCTTTAAGTTAAGTATAAATTTACTAAAAATAGTCAAAAGTTTTCTAACCTACCAAGTTATTCCTAAAGTTTAAATGAAAGTTAAGTATAAGAACAGAGAGGAGACTTTCTGCAAAAAGAAGTAATAAAGTTAGTAGGGGAACTATTAAACTGCTCATCATTGGGTGATAAACAGTGTTACTGCACTGAGTTGACCTAATGTATTCTGAAAGCAAAGGTGTTTTCATAACTTTATGGCCTGGTTATAGCAAAAGAATAGATTTCCATCAGCTTTCAAACATAAGATTATTAAAGATAATTGTGTATCTCCATAACTACTTTCTTGAATTTTGACACATTAAATGACCTAGAATGCCAGGTTAAATAAAGTTGTAAATGGCTTAATTGAGTAATTATTTCTTGCATATTGCCCTATCATTTGATTTTTTAAAAAATCACTATTTTGCAGAATACTTTAAAATTGTAAGTTTTTATGCCAAGCTGTATTGGAGGCAGTAACTCTGTTTACTTCCTTTAGATTTTAGACATAGGATGCTCCTGATGTAAAAGGTAGTTGTTTTCTTTTTACTTTAGTTTTAGGAATTTAGCTTTAATCCATCTGCTTTCAGTTACGAAATTAGTAAGTTGCTTATCACAATAGTCTTGTGCTCACAGGCTCTTTAACTTGAGTATGATGTGCTAATTGTACTGCATTGCCCCGTGTATTCTGACAGACTGGTCAGTGTATGATTTACAGACTGCTTTCCCTAGAACTCAAGGGTTTCAGAGGTGCTTTAGGAACTTTTCAATATTTAATTTTGATTTCATTTTACATATATACCTTAAACTACTTAAAAGCCTGTGATTTAAAAATGACAGGCACATATATTTATGCTTTTCATACAGTAGAGACAACTGATTGGTTCCCCAGGTTAATTCACTCTTTACAGAACTTCGAATATAGCTTGTCCTTTTCATGTACTTGAACTTGTTAGCAATGTGTCATATTTAGGAAGCTTGTGGTCCTAGGCTTGTTGCTTGTTTCTGGCCAAGCTTCATGAAGATTGGAAAGCCCATGACTTGTTTCTGTATACAGCAGACCCCCTTATCTATGGGGGATGCATTCCAGGACCGCAGTGGATGCCTGAAACCTCAGATAGTACCAAAGCCACTGTATATACCATGTTTATTCTTATACATACATACATACATACCTACGATAAAGGTAATTTATAAATTAGGCACAGTAAGAGATTACAACAATAACTAATGATAGAACAGTTATAGCAATATGCTGTGATAAAAGGTGAATGTGGTCTCACCCTTCTTGTGATGACGTGAGATAACAAAATGCCTACATGATGAGATGAGGGGAGTGAATGATGCAGGCGTAGTGGCTGCAGGGTTAGGCTGTTACTGATCTGACCCTATGTCAGAAGGAGGACCTGATTGACTGGAGTTGACTGAAACCGGAAAGTGGGATCAGTGAAAGTGAAATAAGGGAGGACTACTCTACCCTATTTATCTTCTGATATATAAAATAGAGTCAAAATAACACATTTTTCAACTACTTAGCCCAATAGGGATTATTTTGATTGATCCTATCTGTAAGATTTTAAAGTTTTGTTTTACTACACACAACTGTTAAACAATATAACAATTGTGAATACCTGAAAATGGGACGTTTTTTCATCTGGTGATATTTTAGCAGAGACATGCTTGGAAGGGATGGTGACTGGTCAGTCACATTTACTAAATAAAAAATATTATTGATACAGAGGTGTTGAACATTTTCCTGGACACTATGCTAAAGATTCATTAATTGTAAAATGAAGTTCTCCCTATTTGGCTCCAGAAACATAGCAGTGCTAGGCTTTAGGTATGAGAGGGGTGTGAAACGCTTAGGATTCAGGGAGCATTCCAGCTCAGCTCTGGACAGCTCTGACTTAGGGGAAGTCACTAAGCTTTTCCTAGCTTCGTGTTACTTCTTCAATTTCTTCATAAGATTGCTTTGGGCAGTTAGTTTAACTGAAGTTGATTTGAAAAGTGGTAAGTATTATATATATATATATATATATATATATATATATATATGTGCATGTGTAAGTTTGTTTTCTGTATAATACACACACACACACACACACACATATATATAAAATAAACTTTTAAGTGTTTTAAATAAAACTATTAAGCATTATAATTTCTGATATATTTAGTTGTAATTAGTTAGCATTTTTCCTTCTTCCCCATTCTATGCATGTTTTTATATATTTTCCCCACATGTTCATTCCTTAGGGCATTACACTAGAAGAGTTTGACAAATTGTCTTTCAATATGATTTTAATGAGCCCTCCCTGTCAGCCATTCACCAGGTATGTATGACAAATATTTCTCTGTTGAAGAAGAGTACTTTTGAGGGATTCATTAAATCAAATTATACCATAGTTTCAAGCATGGACACTTTGAAGACTGTCAGCTGCATTTTCATAATTTTGAAAATTGTCATAAATAGTGCCTTTTATCTACTCATTTATAATTCAGCATTAATCCAAAAGGAAATAGCAGTTACTACCAAATGAGCAAAGTAATTCAGTCAGTAGAAGATACACAGAGACTATATGGGACCTCCTTTATACTTACCTAAGATATGATATTTTTTTCTGACCCAAAGTACCTTACATTAAACTCATGAGCATTCAAGAGTATCTTTTTAACTGATTAATAAAGTAAGTTTTCATAATAAATATTCAGTTCTTAAATAACTATAAAATTTAAAAGCTAATCAAGAATGGATTAGTAAATTTTACATTTCTCAATTCATATATACGTTGAATAATTAATTGTGACTTTTTATAGCTATGTTGAAATTCATTTTTTTATTGTATTTATTGGCTGTGTGTTTCAGGAAATTATATCTTAGATGAAATCTTGAGCAATCTATCTTCATTTAGATATTTTTAATTGTTTTAAATAATAAGGATAATCCTCTGTCTTACATGGAGTTTGCCATTTAATTTAACATGCCTATGGGATAGGCATTACTATTATCATCATTTTATTGGTGAGAAACTGTGGCATAGAAAAGTTAAGTAACTTTTTGAAGGCCATACAATTGGAAAATGTCAGAGCAAGGATTTATCAATTCTTTTATATATTTCTATTTCAATGTGTAAGATAATTTTAAGTGGGATATCACATATCATAAATATTCTAATTTAAATGAGTATTTTCAGGCTTAATGTCCAGCTAAGTTTTGCTTTATTTATTTTATTATCTATTTTTTAAAAGTTTATTTATTTATTTATTTTGAGAGAGAGAGAGTGCTGAAGGAGCAGGGGGGGTGGGGGTTGGAGAGAGAATCCCAAGCAGGCTCTGCACCATCTGCATGGAGCCCGATGTGGGGCTCGAACTCACAAACCATGAGTTCGTGACCTGGGCCGAAATGAAGAGTCGGACGTTTAATGGACTGAGCCACTCTGGTCCCCCATAAGTTTTGCTTTAATAAACAACTCTCTAGAAAATTAATTCTCCAAGGATTTATTGTGTGCCTGGAAGCCAGACATTGCTTTTGATGCCATAGTTAACCATCCTCAAGGAGCTTATAGTCTAAGGGAGATGACTGACAAAGAATTCTCTTATGAGGTGGTATAAGCTATATAATAAGTGAAGCTGGAAGTGCCGTGAGAGCACAGAGGAGAAAATGGCTTGCTGCATACCAGGAGACAGGATTTTGACAATTTTTTTTTTTTTTTGTCAGGAGACAGGAATTCTTTTAGAGGCAATATCTGAACTATATCTGAAAGCAGTTTGGGAATTTATCAGAGAAGGCGTAGGGCAATCCATGTAAAAATGCCTCCAAGCATATGCAGTCATAAGGCCTGTTTAACTTACAGTGAGTAGAGCTACAGAACAGAAAGCAGCCCCAGCACTGTGCAGCCTCCTACACTATTGCCCTGGGCCCCCTGTGTCTTCCGTACTACCACTCCCAACTGTAATAGCCCATCTCCAGCTGCCGATGGCAGCAGTAACCGATTCGGTAACACTGCCATCGTTGGAGTGCTGAGAGGAAAGGGCCACAGTGAGAAGAACCCAAGATTTCCTGAGGCCTGTATTCAAGTCCACTGTAAGTGTCCCTCTGAGCCTCACATCCATGGATGGTTCTGGCCTTGCTGGAAGGCAGGAGGAAACTGACAAGTGACATCGAGCAACTCATCTAAGGCAATGGAGCTAATAAGTGCCAAAGTCTTAAACCCGTTTCTGTTTCTACCAGCTAAGCCCAATCCAAGTCTTCATTTCTGTGTGATTCTTGGTTGTATTGAACCTTGCTTGTAATATCTAATTGCTAGTCCAAGTACTGCCTGTTTCCATGACCTGTTCTGACCTAGTTAGTCTAACCAAGTTGCAACTCCTGCTTGTAGAATCAAGCATTCAGGTCTGTCCAATGTATATTGGACAAGATTGTCTTAGTCTTTCCTACTATGGTCTGCTTGGATGATTAGTTATCAGTGCCATTCCTCTATGGTTGCCGCCCTACCCAACCAGCTCATTCATCTGAACTATTGTTGTCTCATCTGGGACAGAGCAAAAGGTGTCATCAGCCAGCGTGTGTGTGTGTGTGTGTGTGTGTGTGTGTGTGTGTTTCCTAAACAGTGATTTTAACAGGTTAATTGATTTTAGTTTTTATTGGTTATTTGTTCTTTGTTTCATGTAAGTCATTTGGCATACTGTTTTATAAGAAGTGTATTTATTAGATTGGCAAGGCTTTTTTTTTAATTAAGTGAATAAATGCATTTTGTTCCCTGTAGTAACAAACATGATCATATTTTTTGTGAAGACCACCTAATTTTAGTTTTCTCAGTCTTTATGTTTTAAAAGTGACTTGGTATCTTTCTGTAAGTAAGATTCATGGTGACTTTTATCTGAACGTTCTTTACCCTTTAGAATTGGCCTGCAAGGTGATGTGACTGATCCAAGGACAAATAGCCTCTTACATATCCTAGATATTCTCCCAAGGTAAAAATTTAAATTTTTTTTTTTTTTTACCAGCTTACCCTAACTTTAAAATTTTGGATCTGGGAGAATGTGGCATTTGTCATTCTGTAGAGATTAGCAGCTTATCCATGCAGCTTTCAGAGGCTCTGCATGTCATTTATTTCTTCTGCCACGACTTACAGAATCACACAAATGTTTGCCATTTCCACGGCTGCCACTACAGTGAGTGACAGGGAATGAGAGTCTAACAGTTAAATTCTATCGCCTCTCCTTACAGTATCAATGGAAACAAGGCTAATATTGGTGAGTCCTGTTGCCCATGGCCTGCAACGTGGGGCCAACCCTAGAAGCTGCCATGCTATGTAAACGATAGCCCTTTGCAAGTTGTGCAATCCAGAGCCTCTGTGTGAACCCATGTTTTCTGATAAACTTCACTGGAAATTAACGTTTCAAATGCGAGCTTCATTAGGTATGCCATTTTTATGGGGAAGATGAATAAAATATGAGTTGCCTCTATCCCCTCTAAAATTCTTTTATGAAAACAAAGAAATTCAGAAAAATTACTTACCTCATATCTCCAAGTAAGGATTTTCTTTACTTGTTACTTCTTAGTAATGACATGTGCAGAATTCTACTTGTTTTTGTTTTTGTTTTTAGATTACAAAAATTACCGAAATACATCCTTTTAGAAAATGTTAAAGGTTTTGAAGTATCTTCTACAAGGTAAAAATGTGTTTGCTTTGTGTTCATCTTAAACTTGGTATATTGTGGGAGCCGTTGTGAAATAAAGATCTTAAAAATAAACACATACATTCTGACATTTTATATATGTTGTATATTTTGTTCAGTAATACAGTTTTGACTAATTAATAATGGAAAGTTTCACAAAGTTAGGTTCGCCTGATTCCCATTTTGATATGTTGGAATTTTTGCAGAATGATCACGCATTTAAATGAGAATGGTATTTCTCAATTTCAGCTGCTTATATTGTTGCCTGTTTCTTTAGAAGTAGGGATGTTTTCAGTAGACATGTCCCTGTTGACAGGCATTTTGTGTCCTCCAGTTAGGAGAAGCAAGCCCTGTGTCAGAGCCCTTTCAGATGGTAGCCCAGCGGGAAAGTATCTGTGTCCTTGAATCAGCCACTGTCTGTATGTAACAGCTCCCGCATCTGATTTGCTACAGACAGAGCTCTATCCCCATAGCAAATATATCATCAGTAGACTAGTGATTCTAGCTCTCACCAGTTGGGATAAATTATCTGGCAGCTTTATTTATTTATAATAGAAATTATCTCTATCTTGTTTTGAGAAATGTAATTTTTCAAGTACTGCACTTAATAAAGACCTAGGATCATTCGCTTCCTAAACAATTTGGGTAGCGACACAGTTTTCACATAAAATGAAGTTTTATGTATAATTTATTGTATAAGAACCCCATTTCCAACCACAGAGTGAAAGCTTTTCTTTTTTCTTTATTTTTGTCTTTGTCTTTTCAGAGACCTGTTAATACAAACAATAGAAAATTGCGGTTTTCAGTACCAAGAATTTCTGTTATCTCCAACCTCTGTAGGTACCAAAATTATAAATTTTTCTATAAATTTTCCCAAAGGGAATTTGACTCAATAAAAAGAATGGATCTGTTTTGAATATTTTATGTAAATCTTGAAATTAGTTCAGACATGGTTCTTTCTGAAGAATGTAGTACAGACACATAGATTCATTTATATACATATTTTATGGAAAATATATATTATATAGTTTGAAGCTCACAGAAAATGTAAATTTATTTCCACACAGAAAATAAAGGATACTGTGTTTTGAAATCTGTGACATTTGGTATTTCCAAATTGGGTGTACTGTAGTTTATAATGCTTCAAAATAATCCAAAATAGAAAGCAAAATGAACAGATGATAATTTTCTAGGTAGTCTTTTGGGGACATATCACTAAAATGCAAACATGGTGAAATGTTGTCATTTGCAGCAACAGGGACGGAGCGAGAGGGGGTAATGCTAAGCAAAATAAGTCGGAGAAAGACGAATATCATAGGATATCACTCATATGTGGAATTTAAGAAACAAAACAAAAGAGCAAAGGAAAACAAAAAAGAGAGATAAACCAAGAAACAGACTTTTAGCTACAGACAACAAATTGATGGTTACCAAGAAAGGATGAGGGTTGGGGATGAGTGAAATAGGGGATGGGGATTAATGAGTATACTTACCCTGATGAGCACCGCGTTGTGTTTGCAAGTGTTGAATCACTGTTTTGTACACCAGAAGCTAATATAACACTGTATGTTAACTAGACTCCAATTAAAATAAAACAAAATGCAAACATGACTTCTATTTCATGGATATGAAATCAAAGTAGGTGGTTAAGAGAAGATATTTGGTAGATCTTTTATATTACAAGTATCACCGTCTGTTTTTTCTCTTGCCATTGTGTTTGTTAACCTCCTATTTATTATCTTTAGCCTATTATACAGTTATTTGTCCTGAAATTAAAAGAAAACCCATTTAAAAAGTACATGTACTATGGAAATTGGCATTATGTCTGGTCTCATTAGGTTTATTTCATATTTATTGCCTTTTAACTTTAAAATTAGTGTATCCTCCTTTTTTAATAAAAGGAGGTAATAAATTGCCAAAAATAGCTATAGCCGAATTTTACTTTTTATGATTACTATTAATACTGAATGTAAGGATGTCTATATAATTTCTTACCTGGGAATTACAAAATGAAAGTGACTCAGAGACCTATGACTCATCCCATGCAATCTCTGTTCATTCAAGTAAAGGTACAAAGCAACTTAAAAGGTTTGAGAATTTGCTACAGAAATATCTTCCACAAATCAATAATAGAACTTTTCTGACAGAAACTAAATGCATTCCTGTATGAGTCGTTTTTTACTTGGGTGCTCACAGTCGATTCATGTCTCTTTAATTTCCTACAGTAACTAACTGCTTGCTTCACTTGCAGCTCGGCATTCCAAATTCAAGGCTACGGTATTTCCTCATTGCAAAGCTTCAGTCAGAACCATTGCCTTTTCAAGCTCCTGGTCAGGTGGTATTATTATTATTATTATTATTATTATTATTATGTAAGTTTATTTCAGTCTGCTAGTTTATTTCAAGAATGACTTTGTAGGAGCTTACATGTGTCCTGTTGAGCCTATAATATAGACCACCACCTAGGTCCAACTCCTAGACCTTTTTCCTCTCCCGATGCCGTTTATTGCTTCAAACAAGGCAAAAAATAAAAACTTTTCTTTCATTACTAGAAGAAAATAGAAGTTAAAGGTGGTAAAAACTATTATGAGTGCTGCTATCCTCCTTTTCTCCCCTGTAATTTCCCTTCTGACCATTGGCTATTTTGCGTCTGTCGTCTTCCCCCCAATAGAAGCCATTGATTATTTCAGATAAAACTCAATTATACTGTCTCAAAACTGGCTTAACAGTATTCTAACACATTGGTTGCATTTTCTTTGAGGTCAGTGCTATATAGCCTTCATTAATTAAAATACAGTGATTACTACAAGCCAGAATAAAATGCTCTATTGCTATAGGTAGGATCTCTAACTGTGCAAACAACTGTCCATATTTCTGTTAAAATTGCTGTGGAAAACAGGGAGTGTCACTGGTTCGGTGAAGCTCTTCTTAACAATCACAGGTAAGAACTCAAAAGCCACGTCCTCCTAGCAGGGGGTCAATAGTGTCATTTGGATCCCTTGCAATACGATACCAATACATCTGCCTTTCCGTGGTGGTCAGTTCCCAAAATGGTATGTAAACTATATTCACAAAGACATCATCATTAAAAATGCCGGGAACTATTTTTCTTTCACAAAATAGGACATTATGTATGCTTATATGTTTTGCAGGAACAAAGTTTTCCTATGGGACTCACAAAGAGAAATAACCTTTCAGGGGGAAACATGCTTTCCTTTTCGTAATTACTAGTTTCCCTGTAGATCATGGGTATGTTCCAGCTTTTCTTTTTTAATGAAGGAACATGGCAAATTTTGATCCGGTGCACGTTTTCTGGAAATGTTAATGTTGCTGTCTCTCTTTTCTTTTTACTTTTTTAAATGCTATGCCTTTTATTCTGCTGACTTAGTCATTCTGTAACTAAAGTTGCTTTCTAAACTTCTTTTTTAAATATGATACTGTATCTGTATTCAACATACTTCCTATTTGTTGAATGTTTTCATTAATAAATATAGGAAACAGTAACTCCAGGAAATAAATCATCTGTAGCCTGAGGACACTACAGCTATATGATGAAAAACTTATAATAACTTGTATACATACAAGTAAATCCAGTTTCTGTATTTTTGTTGACAACTCTGTAAAGGCTAAAGAGATTTTTTTGCATAATGTTGTTGGGGCATTATTAATTTATCTTTTATTTTTTAATAAATCTTTTAACAGGTCATGTATTTTTACTTAATGCCAGGTGCTGAAGGAGTTCCCCAAACTTGAATCTGAACATCCAGAAAAAAATACAATATTTGCAGAAAATAAAATTGAAAGAAAGAAAATTGAACCAAATATTTGCTTTGATAATGGCAGACAGTGTTCTGGAAAAGAAGCCATTCTTTTTAAGCTTGAAACTATAGAAGAAATTGACCGGAAACATCAGCAGGACAGTGATCTCTCTGTGCAAATGCTAAAAGATTTTCTTGAAGATGACATTGACACGAATCAGTATTTTTTACCACCAAAGTCACTGTTGCGATATGCTCTTTTGTTAGACATTGTTAAGCCCACTTGCAGAAGGTCCACATGCTTTACCAAAGGGTAGGTTTTAAAGAGACTTTTAAAATGGCATATTCAAAATAGACAGGTTTTTATCGTTATTGTTTCTTTTAGTTCTTCTCAAAATAAGGACCATTTTAGAAAATGTTTCTACTAGAATGATTTTTTTTTTTTTTTTTTTTTTTTGCCCTTAATTGCCTGCTTTCGTGTTCCAATAGAATGCACGAGTAAAAATTCCTTCTGGCAGAACATTATGTGCACAGCCCACAAAAGTGCTCATAAAACACAATGCCATTTGTTTGGTGACCTTCATAAGAGCTTAATTACCCATGGTGGAAACATGGTTTCTATTGATACTGAATTGCTACTTTTTAGCACCTTTCTTTTTATGGCACATCAGACCTCAAAATTTATGTCCACTCTCATGATCAAATGTATAAGAAGACATTAAATTTTAATATCAAGAAATAAAGTTAAATCATCTAATGCACATTAGAGCATATTTAAATTTCATTCAGGTTTTTTTTTTCAACATTTATTTATTTTTGGGACAGAGAGAGACAGAGCATGAACGGGGGAGGGGCAGAGAGAGAGGGAGACACAGAATCGGAAACAGGCTCCAGGCTCTGAGCCATCAGCCCAGAGCCTGACGCGGGGCTCGAACTCCCGGACCGCGAGATCGTGACCTGGCTGAAGTCGGACGCTTAACCGACTGCGCCACCCAGGCGCCCTCATTCAGTTTTTAAAATAAGTAATATATTTTTATGGTTCCAAATTCAAAAGGTACAAAGATTGTGAAATTCCTTTCTCTATCTCTTGCTTATCCAGTTTTCCTGCCTACATGCAGGAAATTAGTGATTTCAATTTGCTGTCTAATCTTCCCAAGGTATTATGTATGAGGGTGTATTTAAATATACATGTATATTTTTACCACCTTATTAAGTAAATGGTAACATACTATATCTATTATTATGTACTTTTTTCATTATGCAATATAAATTGGATATTATTACACATGAGTACATAAAGAACTTTCTATTCTCATGGTATATATATCACAGTGTCTTTTATTGGTTACCTTTGGGTTATTTTTTGAATGTTAGAATATTTTTCATCAATGTTTTAAAACCTACAAAGAAGGGGAAAATTAGGCCTTTCCAGAAAATTTTGTAAAAGACCCCTATCTCTGCTTTGTTAACTCCACCCCTGGGGATGAGTAAACCGTATGATTTGAAACTTGAGGCCCTCTCTTTTCACCCACTAGCTAGCTAGCTAGCTTTCATGCACACTCTGCTCCTGATAAAACCATACCAGATTTATTCTGATTTTTATCGTGCTCTGCCCTTGGACTTCCAGGGTAACAGGTTTATTACTTTCCATTGCCTTCAAAGACTGTACTCAGCTGTTGTCTGTTTCCAAGTCCGATAAGACAAGACTTATCAATTTGGTAATAAAAAACAACCTTGAAATTCGTTTGTAATTATAAAGATGGTATAAAGGAAGCCTTAGTATAAAAGTATTTTTTAGTGTAAATAGTATAAACATTTTTCTTTCTATCTATCTATCTACACACACACATACGTGATATGTGAGAAAACAGATTTGCAAAAATATTCTTCCTGGTGTAACTTTCTCTCACTTTATCTATTAGGGAAAAAAATAATGATAATATTTTAAACAGCTAGCTTGGCAGTGATTTTAGGGGAAGAAATATTACTAATAACTTGCATTTCTGTAGGCTTTTAATACAGTTTCTTATACAGGGGACTCTTTGTTGTATGAAAAAGAGTGCAAACCTACTGTGTTAACAGTGAGAGGGAGACGCACATTCAGTGGGCCTGTGTTTGTCGTGGTCTTGGAGAGTGTGGTTTTCAGCTCATGAGGAGCAGTGATGGTTCAGGCATTATGAGAAATAGTGACAATTTGTTTTCACCTACATAACATTTGGTTTAACGTGCCAGGAGTGTTGATACTGAATAGCCTTTGGATATAAAGTCCTAACAAAACTCATGCTTTCTATGATGAACAGTAAGAAATTGACAGTTAATACAAAGAAATGGTAATAATGCATGACTCAGCGTTGTTTTTACACAACTCAAAAAACTATGCCGAATTTAGTGTCTGAGAAATTTAAATAGAATTATCTTGTGTCTCATCTGGCAACTTTTCACTTACAAAGCATGTTGATGTGTTTCAGACAATTTCAGAAGGATGTAACTATTTAGATTGATTAATTCATTCAAGAAATATTTAAGAAATTTCACATCAACAAGTACATCAGATGCTACATAACATACATATTAATCTTTCAGTTATGGAAGCTACATAGAAGGGACAGGATCTGTGTTGCAGACCTCAGAGGACGTGCAGGTATCGTATATGCTTTAGAGCTAAAATACTTGAAAACTATGTTTAAGACTTAAGATCTGAGAATATTAAAATAATTTTACATGTCTAATTCAGAATTAATATACATGTTATTTATTCATATTTTCATATAATATAGTGTATATATAATAATTCTTTACTATAGGATAAATCTTTTTTGTTTCTCGTTGCTAGATGAGTTTATGTACAAAGAATATTTTGTTTCACTTTCTCTGTTATTATTCTTACCTTTGGTATTCTTTTTATTCCATAAGGAGTAAATTGAAATGCAGCATACAGTAGTTAATGTTCTCTAAAATTATGTACAAATATCTTAATATTGGAGGCTTTCTTTGGATCACACATTATAAAACTGCCTTTTAGGGACAGAAATCTACATCTCAGCAAGACTCTTCATTAATACTTCGCTTGTAAACTCTTCATGGCATCATGGTTGAAAACAAGCTTGAGGGGCTCCTGGGTGGCTCTGTCGGTTAAGCATCTGCCCCTTGATTTCAGCTCAGGTCATGACCTCGTGGTTTGTGAGATCGAGCCCCATGTTGGCATCTGTGCTGACAGTGTGGATTCTCTCCCTCTCTCTGTCTGCCCCTCCTCTGCTCATGCACTCTCTCTCTCTCACTCCCTCAAAATAAATAAATAAACTTAAAAAAAAAAGATAGTTTAAAAACAAACAAGCTTGATATACTTACTGCAAAAATATCTCATATTTTTGCATAATTTTGGACTGAAATCACATTATCTTCTTTTATCCTGATTTGAACTTACCATTAGTACAATTTACCCATGGTAAAAATCCTATCAGAGGCAAATGAATGAATCTGAGAAGTTAAATTTACCAAGTGTATTTTATCATTTTAAGAAAATATCTTAATTTGATGAAGTTGATCATAAACATTGAACATTTTAATGATCCACTTATTAGCATTATGAAATTGATTTCCTTGGTTGATCAGGTTTCTTCTTGTCTTTCACTGTATTTCTTCACGTCTTATTGCCATTGTTTATTTCTTACAGTTTCATTTTTGAGGGCTCAGAAATGACAGGTAAACTGAATGTTTCCTGATTTGCTCAACATTAAGCTTTTCATTTTTTTTTAATTTTTTTTTAACGTTTATTTATTTTTGAGACAGAGACAGAGCATGAACGGGGGAGGGGCAGAGAGAGAGGGAGACACAGAATCAGAAGCAGGCTCCAGGCTCTGAGCCATCAGCCCAGAGCCCGACGCGGGGCTCGAACTCATGACCGTGAGATCGTGACCTGAGCTGAAGTCGGACGCTTAACCGACTGAGCCACCCAGGCGCCCCTAAGCTTTTCATTTTTAAACATTACGATTTCAAAGTTTACATTGCCATTGATGAAACAATTATAGAGTTTATTGGAGGGGATGTTTTGCCCTGTGCGTTTTGCTCCCGTGTATTGTAGCACATACAATACATACATGTATGTTCATCCTTTTTAAACTGCATCACAAGAGATGATCTTATCTTAACAAATCTGCTTGCACTCTACTTTATCAGTTATCCTGGCTGTTTTCTTACAGATTGAGAATGTCTACAAATCCCTCACCAATTTGTCACAAGAAGAAAAGATAACAAAATTATCAATGCTTAAACTTCGGTATTTCACTCCTAAAGAAATAGCAAATCTCCTTGGATTTCCTCCAGACTTCGGTATGTGAGATACACAGACCCCAGCTTTCGTTTAAGGTCCCAGAATTCATCAAGGACTCTTGTGTGTATTTGATGAATAGACCCTTGCCCAGACGGATGGACGTAAGAAACCTTCTTCCTTTCCTGATGGTGCCATTTTTGACATTTTCCTTCCCTCCTCTTTCTGCTTCTGTTCATAACCTGCCTCAGCCCCTTCCTTTCAGGCTCCATTCTCTCTCCCTTTACTCCAGTCATGGTCCCAAGTGGTTTTCAGGGGACAAGGGCCAAATTTGCAATTCCTCACCTCTCCCCACCGATGGTTGCTAATAGCATGTCCTTCTCCAACTTACTTTCTTGATACCAGAGGTCCTGTTCTAATAACCCCACATAGATCTTGTGAAATAATGTGTAGGTTTGTCCTTTTTGTGAAGAAATTAAAAGGTGGCTGAGGATTTTGTTTTCTTGGTGGTAAGTGTATTTGTATTTCTTCTCAGAGATACGTTCTTATCAGTTATGTACCTTTTGTCCTCCCTATAAGGAGAGAAACAAGAAGGTGGAGAGGTGGTCTAGGAAGGAGTCTTCCCCGTGGAAAAAAAAGGGTGGGTCAGCAGCACGGCTGCCAGAAGCGACCAAAGATTACGGAGTCTAAACTAAAGCAGGGAATCTCAAGAACAAAAATGCAGATACAGAGTGAGAAAGACAAAGTCCTAGCTCCTTCGTAGTCCAGGAAATCCAGGGATGGATGCTGTTAAGAGACTGGACACGTTGTCTTTGCTTTGGCTTTGCGGAGTCCCTGCCCCATCCCTGATCCCACTTTCTTGGTGCCTGTGCTCTCGGCCATACTGACACCGTCAGTGTCTTAGGCTGGGGTGGCTGTGTTCCCAGTACCTGGCTCGCGCCGACCGGAGAGAGACAGACCTCCCTAACGTGTTCCAGGACTACACAAGGACACAGTGTGTTTTTGATAACTCTGGGAGTTTGAAAGCAGAAAAGTGGAACTTGTCTAAATCCAGTATTGTTGTAATATTAATACAGTACTATTTTTGAAGCAGATGACGGGTTAAATAGATCATGTTTTAAATTCTAAATGGTAGATTTACAGATGAGGTTTTGGAGCACATCCTTCTGTACGTTGGGAAGAAACTGACTATATAATTTGACTGTCCTCTTGGTAATTGGTTCTTGAAGGGTAGTCACGGCAACCAGGTTTATTTTGTAACTCTCTGCCTTTTTCTTGGTGATCTCATTCAGTCACAAATATCCTGGGGAGTGTTATTTAAGGAAAACACAAACTTTCCTTGTCTTAGTCTACGTCACACGGTAAAGTGAGAACATCATAAAACAAATAAAGAGCTGAGAATTGGACTCAAGAAATTAATTCCCAGTCTGCTCATTTGCTTACTATTTTTTTTTCTTTTTTAGATAAACAATCAAAGGTACTTTCCATAGTACTAAAGAGAGAAAAGAAATTGAGTGTCTAATAACAAATTCCTACGTTTTGAGTGCTCGTTTCTTTCAGTAGGAGCAGTCACTGTGGTAACACTGAAAGGCAGCAGGGACCCCAGAGTCAGACTGGCCAAGTTTGAGTCCTAGCTGCACCTCAACCCCTCCCTGCTTTAGTTTACACATGTGTGGAGTGGGGGTCATCACAGCGCCAGTGTCAGAGGGTCCTAGTGACAGTTAAATGAGGTAACGTGTAAAATGCTTACACACTTTCTGACATACAACATCAAATTCAAATGTCAGCTTTTATTTGTAAAACAACAGATATTTATTTGCTTTCATAGCCTTTACTTCATAAATACTTCTCATTTGAAAATTTCACATATGTAAGTTAGAATTTTTCAAAGCTCTCTGCAAATGCGCATACACGGAAGTCTTTAAATTACTTCACCTTCTTTCAAAATATGTGATATATTTGTATGATCAGTATTGAACTGACGTCACCCCTGAGCAGCACTGTGACAGAAATGTCCTTCCCGTGTGCTTCCAGCATTATCGAGTCTGAATCTGAAATGGGCGTTGTTTGAGCTGCACTGTTAACGAGGGTTTTGCATCGATCCTTCCGTACATCGTGTGCTGGTTTTCTTTGTCACTAGTGGTATGCACTCGTGAGATAGTGAGCTTGGGAAGCGGACGCTGACCTACACTTACAGAATGAAAGCTGCTATCTTGACCTTGTTAATGCTATGTTTCTGTGTTTTTGAGCATCATTATTCTTTTTAGTGTACCTAAGTTTCTAAAAAGTCACCTTTTAATTTAAAAAAAGCTGTATCTGTATATAAAATACGCAATCACCCTTACATATATGTCGTTTTTACAAATCTCACTTGTTTGCTTTCAAACATTTCTTGCCCTGTGATATAATCTTAATATTACACGAGGTCATCCCTGGGATATTCTAAAAGTCTGTGATATAGTTGCATCTTTGGCTCATTTGAATGAAATAATTTTTTAGATGACTAATGTGCTTGCCTAAGACATATTATCTTTATAATGGCAATTTTATGATCTTGCTCAATTGCATATGTAATTTTATTATGTGACCACTTCTTTTACTGCAGTAAGTATAATGTAAAGTGTTGATGAAGCAATTTTATCACAGTCAACTCTACCTTCTGGTCCTCACAAAATATGTATTTTGCTTTTCTTAATACTTTTTAATTATTTCCTTCATCTTATTATCTAAATTGCCTTTCCTTTATTTAATTGTGTGCCAGAGGATACTGAATATGAAAATGGTAACAAACCTTACAGGGTATACTTCACGGACAGTCTTTTATGTTGATACTTGCAAGGTTCTGTTCTAGCAAATGTTGTATCTATGGGCCATTTGTTTTGAAAAAGAATGTAGCAAAATAGAAGTCCAATGTGAGAAAGCCCATTTGTGGAAGCAGAATATAAAAAACAACTGTGAGGGACTTGTATCCAGAATATATGAAGAACTCTTATAACTCAACAATAAAAAGAAATAATCCAATTAAAAAATGGGCAAAGGATTTGAATATTTTCCAAAGAAGATAGACAGATGGCCAATAAGCACATGAAAAGATGTTCAGCATCATTAGTTATTAAGGAAATGTAAATCAAAACCACAATAAGATACCACTTCACAAAAAGACAAACAATAACAGTGTTGGTAAAGATGTGGTGAAATCAGATCCCTTGTACACTGCTGGTGGGAATATAAAATGGTACAGCTGCTCTGAAGAACAGTGTGCAAGTCCTCAAATGTTAGACATAGAGTTACTGTATGAGTCAGCATTTTCACCCCTAGGTATATATCCAAGAGAACTGAAAACACATGTCTCCACAAAAATGTATACAAGAGAATAATTCATAATCAAAAAGTAGAAACAACCGAATATCTATCAATGGATAAGTGGATAAATAAAATGTGGCATATCCGTGCGATAGAATATTATTTAGTTAAAAAGAGGATGGAGTATCGCTACATCATGTTGTGATGAATGAACGAACCTTGAAAATATGCTAAGTGAAAGAAGCCAGAAACAAAAGACAACATATTGTATGGTTCCATTTATATGGAATGTCCAGAATAGGCAAATCCATAGATACGGAAAGTAGATTAGTGCTTCAGGGGCAGGGAGGGGAGCTGGGGAGTGATTGCTAATGGGTACCAGCTTTATTTTTTTTTAAAAAATTGAAGTATAATCGAGATGTAACATTAGAATACCTTTGGGTATACAATGAGATGATTTGATATTTGTATACATTGAGAAATGATCACCACAAAAAGTGTGGTTAACATCCATTGCCATATATCAGACATAGTTACAAACATTTTTTGTTTGTGATGAGGACTTTTAAGACCTATTAGTAACTTTCAAATACACAATATAGTACTAGTAACTGTAGTCTACACCATGCTGTAAATGACATTCCCATGACTTGTTTATTTTATAGCTGGAAGTTTATACCTTTTGACCTCTTTGACCCATTTAGCCCCTCCCCCCCCCAATCACCAGTCTATTCTCCGTATCTGTAAGTGTGATATATTTTTTTCTTTGCTTGCTTTGTTTCTTAGATTCCACATTATAAGTGAGATCATAGAGTGTTTGTCCTTTTCTCTCTGACTTACTTCACTTGGTATCATGTCCTCAAGGTCCACCTGTATTGTTGCAAATGGTGATATTTCATTCCTTTTTTACGGCTGAATAATAATTCGTGTGTGTGTGTGTGTGTGTGTGTGTGTGTGTGTGTGTGTGTGTGTGTGTAAGTTCTTTCCATATCTTGGCTATTGTGAATAATGTTGCAGTGAACATAGGGGTGCATATATCTTTTCGAATTAGTGTTTTCATTTTTATCCCACAAATACCCAGAAGTAGAGTCGCTGGATCATATGGTAGTTCTATTTTTAATTCATTGGTGAACCTCCATGCTGTTTTCCATAGTGGCTGCACAATTAATATACATGCCCTCAATATATTTTGGATATTAACCCCTTATCAGATATATGATTTGGAAATGTTTTCTCCCATTCTGTAGGTTGCCTTTTCATTTTGTTGATGATTTTCTTTGATGTGTAAAAGGTTTTTAGTTTGATATAGTCCCACTTGTTTAGTTTTGCTTTTAGGGTTAGATTCAAAAAAATTGTCGCCAAGACTGATGTCAAGGAGCTTACTGCCTGTTTTCTTTTAGGGGTTCTATGGTGTCAGTTCTTACATTCTAGTCTTCAGTCCATTTTGAGTTAATTTTTATATATCAGAGCATGATGCTTCCAGCTTTGTTCTTCTTTTACAAGATTGCTTTGGCTGTTTGGTATCTTTTGTGGTTTCATACGAATTCTAGGATTGTGTATTCTGTTTTTGTCAAAAATGCCCTTGGAATTTTGATAGGTATTGCATTGACTGTGTAGATTGCTTTGGATACTGGGCATTTTAATAATAATTCTTCCAATCCATGAGCACAAGATATCTTTCCATTTATTTGTGTCTCATTTCTTTCTTTGGTGTCTTGCAGTTTTTAGCATACAGATCTTTTACCTTCTTGATCAAATTTATTTGTAGGTATTTTGTTCTTTTTTATGGGATTGTAAATGGGATTGTGTTCTTAATTTTTCTTTCTGAGAGCTTATTGTTAGTGTGTAGAAACACAACAGATCTTTGTATATTAATTTTGTATCCTGAGGCTTCACTGAATTCATGTATTCGTGCTAACAGCTTTTTTGGTGGAGTCTTTGGGGGGTTTGTGTATAATATGTCATCGGCAAATTGTGACAGTTTTACTTTTGCAATTTGGATGCCTGTTACTTCTTTTTCTTTGCCTAATTGCTCTGGGTAAGACTTCCGATACTTTGTTGAATAAAAGTGGCAAAAGTGGGCATCCTTGTCTTATTCCTGATCTTAGAGGAAAATGTTTAGCTTTTTACTTTTGAGTATGTTATTAGCTGTGGGCCACCTTCTTTGTGAGGCAATAAACATATTCTGGAATTAAATAGTGGAGATGTATGCAAAACTCTGTGACTGTCCTAAAAACCATTGACTTGTATATTTTAAAAGGGTGAATTTTATCTCCATAAAGCGGTTTTTAACTAAAGGAAAACAACTGTGGAATAATGGTAGCCACAGTTTTTCCTAAAGTGTGTTGATATACAGATTTCTGTGAGTTTTGCGGAGGGTATGTGTGTAATTATGTGTGCACTGAGCATAATATATGTTATATGATAGGATAATGTCACATGGTGTAGGCATTGTAATTTTAGATAATATTTTTGGCTTCAGATTCCAATTTCTTAATTGAACTTCGTGGAGACCTCAGGGACTTATTTATGTGAATGACCACTGTGCTCCTACTAAAGGATGCATCCTTTTGTCTCTGGAAGTTTGTATTATAAATGATTGTCTTGTAAATTATTATCTCTCTTTTCTAGGATTTCCTGAGAAGATAACAGTGAAACAGCGTTATCGTCTACTTGGAAATAGTCTCAATGTGCATGTAGTAGCTAAACTAATCAAAATCCTATATGAATAATTTAAAAATAACTCTGAAAGATGGTCACATTATTTATTCATATCCAGATAGTAATTCTGAAATTCTATTTTGAATTGATTTTGATGAAATTTAACTAAACTCTCTTTATCTCTCTTGAAATTTAACTAAACTCTCTTTATCTCTCTTTAAAAAGAAATTTGGATTTATCATAAAAATGCTGATTTTTAAAAAAATTTATATTACTGTATTTTGTAAAGCAAAAATTGCTATTATGCTTTACAAGAATATATTTTCATGTGAAATTGCTAAACATACATGTAAAATATTCTCTTTATAACATTATGGTATATACAAATTTAGGAACATTGGAGTTTGAATATCTACATGAATATTTTACAAAGTGTCATGATAGACATAGTATAGTGAACCTGAGAAATTATGTTTTTGTATGTTGCTTAAACAAATTGCTTTATGAATCCTATTATTTTATTTTATTTTATTTTATTTTATTTTATTGTCAGATTGATTATTCCTGATTTTAAAATGATGCTTCTAATTCTGGCCTGTTTCAAATATTGAATGTTTACTGAATTCCATCCTTTAAACATTTCTTAATTATATCTAAACAAATGCATATAATGTTTTAGACCAAATTATCATCATTCAGTGTTACACAGCCGTCTGAAGAAAGTGTCAGAAAAAATAATCCTAAATTCTTGATTATGTCTCCATCAGGAAGCTGCAGAAAATGTAGGTAAACATTATCCAGTTATCTTTAATTCTACCTCCATGTAAAATGCGAAACTTCATTGTCCGTTCTTTATTTATAAATATTTTCTTTTACTTTGCTGTCATCAGAGCTTGCTTTTGTCTTCCTTCTTAGCTTCTTGTTGTAAGTTGAATTTGCATCACATTCTAGGGAATGTAGTGTGGCATTCAGATTTTAGGGAGGAAATTCTGCTCTCCGACCCCATTTTATATGACTGTTCTGTGAATTAGCTTTTTAAACTTTCTCTTTCTCTCTCAGACTTCTTGGAATTATGGTTTCTTATCAGACTGTTTGTATTATAAACCCTGTGGTTTTATTTCAGTGATAAAAGCAAGTGACAGAAAGAAGAGAAATGAAAAGAAATAAGACCAGAAATTGTATCACAAAATAAAAAATATTTTCATTCTTTTTTAAAAAAATGTTTATTTATTTTTGAGAGAGAGAGTGCACACAAGCAGGAGAGGGACAGAGAAAGAGGGGGACAGAGGATCTGAAGCAAGCTCTGTGCTGACAACAGACAGAATATTTTTATTCTTAAAAGACAATCATTTCGACGTGGAGAAATCAGAACCCTGTGCATTGCTGGTGGAAATATAAAATGGTGAGCCACTGTAGAAAGAAGATGATTCCTTCAAAAAATTAAACCTAGAATTAACCTTATGATCTAACAATTTCACTTCTGAGTATATGCCCAAAAGGATTGAAAGTAAGGACTTGAACAGATATTTGTATACTAATGTTCATAGCACCATTATTCACAATAGCCAAAAAGAGGAAAGAGCCAACATACTTGGGTGAAGACTGGATAAACCAAATATAGTGTATACACACAGTGGAATATTATTCAGCCATGAAAAAAAAGAAATTCTGATACATGCAACAACATGGATGACCCTTGAGGACATTATGGTCGGTGAAAGAAGCCAGACACAAAGGGGCAAATTTTCTATAATTCCAGTTACATGGGGTATGTAAAAGAATCAAGTTCATAGAGATAGAAAGTAAACTAAGGGTTACCAAGGTTCAGGTTACCTGGGGAATAAGAGTTAGCATTGAATGGGTACAGAGTTCTGTTTGGGGTGGTAAAAAAGTTCTGGAGATGGTTAATGGTGGTGGTTGCACACCAATGGAAATGTACTTAATGCCACTGAACTGTATCCTTAAAAATCCTTAAAATGGCAAGTTTTATATTATGTACATCTTATCACATTTAAATAAAAAAAGTCATTCCTCACCACCATTTCTTCAGAAAAACTCATAAATATGGACATAGGCCAATGGGTATATGTATCTGTTGACGTCTACATTATGTATATGTGTTTAAAGACAAACCTTATTACAAATCTCATAATGGGGGGGGGGATGGAGGGGATACATTTATAGTTTAAAATCAGAATTGAGAATCAAGAAGTTCCCAAATAAGCCAAGATAACGTAATAAGGATCTAATTTGAAGCCCATATAGACAAAGTAGTTAAAGTGTGTTTTCCTCAGGTTGTTATGTTATTGAAAAGAAGGCTAACTTTTCATAATTTGGCCTTCAGCTTGGAACTACAAGTCTTTTAGGTCACAAGTGGTAGACTGATTTACAGATAGCTTTGGACTTTGAAATTGAGTGAGGGTCATATGGTCTCAGCAGTTTTCTTATAGCCTGTGAACTCATGTAACTTTTCAAGACAGCCTTTCAACGTTCCTGGACCAGAACTCTCTCCCTCTTAGCTTCCAGTGTCAAAGTGCACCACAGACAACTCTCCTGTCAACTTCTTAACATTTGTTTTTCTTGGATCCACTTCCCATCCAATCCTCTTTCTCCATTCAGCAGACTCACCCAGATATCTAGATATGCCCCTTTGCACATTTTATTGAAAAGCAGTAAGAATCGTACATCGTACACATGTTCCTCAACTTCAGTTTATACTAGTCAAGCTGTCAGCACCATTTTTTCCTTTCCTGTCCTCTCCTGTCATTCCTTTACTTTGCTACTGAAAATTTAACCCTTCAGTTTTAAAAACAAAAACAAAAACATTGTCCTAACCTCTATGTGTCTGTTTCTCTCTTTAGGACTTCTAAGAACATTTTACACTAAGATGGTCATGCTCTTCAAAATCGTTTGCAACCATGACCCAAACAATTTCACTATTTTTTTCTTGATTTGTGAGTTTATTCCTTTTTAAATGTATTTGCTCAGGGGCGCCTGGGTGGCGCAGTCGGTTAAGCGTCCGACTTCAGCCAGGTCACGATCTCGCGGTCCGTGAGTTCGAGCCCCGCGTCAGGCTCTGGGCTGATGGCTCGGAGCCTGGAGCCTGTTTCCGATTCTGTGTCTCCCTCTCTCTCTGCCCCTCCCCCGTTCATGCTCTGTCTCTCTCTGTCCAAAAATAAATAAATGTTGAAAAAAAAATTTAAATGTATTTGTTCAGTAAATATGAACATGTGCAGAGAACTTTTTTGGCTTCTGATTCCCAAACTACTCAAATAAATTTGTTGTAGTCACCAGAGGTTCTGAGTCTTATTTTCAACTACATCCAGCACTGAGAGCTCTCTCTCAAGTATGCTGTATCTGATTCCTAAAGCTTTCTCAAACTTATTTTTCCTACTAATACGAACCTAGATAAAAATTTTCACAAAGGAGAAGATAGGAAGGTAATTTTCCCAAAGAGCTCTTCTGCATAGCTCTGGGATGTTCTCATTTCTTTGGTCATACATAGCACGGTTCCATTGTTTACTTCAAGGATTTGCTCTGTATTTTCTTTTGTTTGCACCTTTATGCCTATTCATATCAGGGCAGATTTAAATTATAAGCGCGCAAGTAGGGAACATGTTTATTTAGCCAAGTTGGCTCTATAATCAGATGAGATCACCTGAAGAGTCTAAAGAGAGAGGGGAGAGCAGAGGTCTGGAGTTGAATTCTTATCCATTACTGAAGATTCAGTCCTCAGGCCTCCCTACCCTTTACTATCCAAGCCATTTTTTCTAAGGTCTCACCCTTTCCTACAACTTCTGGGTTTTTTTGCCCATGATACCCAGGTAACTCCAGATCTGATATTGTTCCTCAGCCCTGTTCTAGAATTTTTGTGCTGGTATATTTTTAACTTGGGTATCTTTCTGTCACATCAAACTTAGCATATTTGAAAACAGTGAATCGTCCTCCATTTAAAAATCAGTTCCACTCATGATTAATTTCAATATTCCTCATCATGACACCACACTGCTTCTCTCCCAGTCTCCCAAATTCAAATCTCATCACCCAAGGTCATCATCACCTTTCCTCTCACTGTATTTCCATTTATCAGCTTCGGTTAATAAAGTAGTCTTCCTCAGAAGGCCTTCCCTGCACAATGGTTCACTTTAGGAAAACAGAAGAAGTCACTTTGAAACTTAAAGACATATATGCCCGTTTGCAACCAGATTTGTATGCTTGAGTCAACACTTGGACATTGAGCAAATTTCAGCCTTCTGAATTTGATCTAGCATGAATATCACTTTTAGTAAGATAGTTGTTATTTTACTCAGTTCCTTACACAAGTACAATTAAATGTCACACACACAAATGATTGAAAATACCTGATGGAATGTGAGAGTCCTTAGATAGTAGATATAAGTTGACTTTTCTGTTCAAAAACCTCATGCTACAGACGATTAGACAATGAGCTGGATAGTTGCTGTGATTCGAATTTGTTTTAAGTGAAAAATATCCCATGTTTTGGAGAATGTAGACTTCCAGGAGGGCAGGGGTTTTTGATTTTTCTTTTCCACTGCTACCTTCCCAGAGACTAAAATAGTACCTGGCACACAGCGAGCACTTAATAAATATTTGTTAAATGAGTGACTATGGCCACCATACTGGATTGATATAGAAGCTGTCTAAAGGCCGTCACACTGTGGAATTTAAACAGAGTCACTCTCCTGAGAACTATTTCTGTTACTGCCACTTCCTCCATACTTAGGGAAATAGCCAAATTTACTCAACTTTGGAACACATGATTTAAAAAACAATTCTAGGATAGGGCTTGATCTTTTGGCTTTTGAGGAAGATGTGCAGATAGAAATTTAAACAAATATGTATTGTACTCTGACTTCTTGTCTGGACAAGAGGGCAGGCTCATTTCTCTTTGCTCCTTCCTAAGTACAGTGATCAATTCTGGGTAAGTATGTTTATAAAATAATGCAAGAGGCATCAGAAAGAGAACTCTTAAAGGAGGGAAGAGAAAACAAACCAGCTAGGTAATCCCAAGACTGGCAAGGGAACATGGTTGCAGGATGTCTTACAGTCTCCCATCCAACAGAAGGAGGTGATCCAAGTTGGGTGCTTCCTGACTCCGAACCTCACATGGGAACCCAGCATGGCTCATTCCTATCCCAGATGGAACTGGGGTCCTGCTGCCAACACCAGGTGAGTCTGATATCACCAGCAAGTGCAATATATAGGGATCCCCACTGACAAGTGTCCAGGGGAAGCACTCTACTTTTCTGGAAGGCCTGAGATTCCTTTCACTTACTGAGACACTGGACAGCCAGAGGACACTGGCAAGGGGATCCCACCCCATAAGGCCTGATCCAGGAATCCTTTTCATCACCATGGACAGGAGGCTCCTTACCTTAACCTATAGGTGCCAGGGAGTTGACCTGGTGAGAACTTCTTCCCCCTAATGTAGGACCGTTGAGGACCACATGGAGCCCCAGTGGTACAGATAAACCAAGCAGACCAAAACGCTCTGAAAGTTAAACTGCCATTGGAACCATAAACCAAAAAGTAGGCCAAGACCTGCATGCTAAACATAAACAGAGTAGCTGCTTGCTAAAATAAAAGATGGAAATAAGACCCAGAGTCTCCTAACATAATAGACAAAATATACAGGACGCAATCCAAAAATCTTTGTCGTACCAAGAACAAAATCACAAGTCGAATGTAAACTTATGACACCACCAAAATGAATCAGATGTTGGGATTATCTGACAAGGATTTTAAAGCAGCCATCATAAAAATGCCTCTACAAATAATTACAAATTCTCATGGAACAAAAAATAGAAAGGCTTAAGTAAAGAAATAGGTAGCAAAAAGTTTTTAAAAGTTAATAAAAGAATCAATGATGT